AGCGTTACAAACATTTTGATTATTTATAGGTAGAGCTAATACATACAAATACCTAAAGCCACTAATACGCGTAGCATTTCGGGCAAGGTGTGGAAGAAAAAACCTGACTAAAACATAATAATAATTGAACTTAAAGTATAAATTCGATTGAAAGAAAAAATAAAAGATAAAAAGGGGGGTTCACAGTAGGGGGTACAAACATGGCACAAAACAGCCAATAAACAAGTTGGTCAACAAACAGCATTGTTTAAAAATAGTAAGACATGGGTTGACATTTAGGGGGTAAGGTAGGTTACATGGAGTTAATTAGGTAGTACTTAGTTTTCATCTTAAACTGGTCGAGAGAGGTACAGCCGTTCTGTACTGTTCTGTTCAAATGTAAACTGTGTCAACAAAATTATTCGCACACCCTCCGTCACTATGTGATGGAGTGCGAAAAGATACGTGATTTCAGAGACAACTCTATAACAAATGTTCAAGAGATGTGTAAATATTTCATTCAAAATGATCTGTTGCCAAAAGTCTTGGCCAAATATCCCCAGTTTGCTAATTGTAGGTAGTATCTGAGTGATTATAACCTATCCACCGTTGCCCACTGGATGGGCCGGGCGGTGTATAAGATAAACATATAAATTGTGACACTAACTCTCCACATATGTCAGTTGCTTAAATTAGAAAATGTACTTGTGGTCGATCTCGAGCCCATTGCTGATGTGACGACGTGCATTGAATTTTGTAACTAGCTCGTCAAGATTGTAACTTGCTTAGCTAAATGAATTGTGGGGCTCAGTCCCTGAGCCCATTATGTGCCTCTGTAACCCTTTCCACTTTCGCCCACAAGATGGGTATGGGGTGCATAATGAATGAACTAAACTAACTTCAACGGAAACATTTTTGGCACATACTTTTTATATTTTATACGAACAGTTTTAAATACAATAAAGTTATAAGTAGAGAATAACAGCTACAGCCCCGCTCCTGTGCTACTACGGTCCACTCACCATAGCCCGTGCTACTTGGAACATTTTGTTCTGAGTAGCTAAATCTAAAGTAAGTAATTATCAAAAGAAGGCACCAAACCGGGAAGGCCATGTAGCACCATCAAATGCGCGGGATAATCAGAGGGCGCTAAATATCACCAAGGATGCCAATACGAGAACAGAAACGCATAAGGCGAGCGATATCAAAAGTATCCGAGTCAGCAAGAATACTATCGAGAGACAAACGACCGCGAGGGATGGTTGGAAAACAAGACACACGCTCGTCCTGGAAGTCAGGACATTCAACAAGGATATGCTCGACCGAAAGAGGGACAAAGCAATTAGGACAATAAGGAGCAGGGCGGCGCTCCATTAAGTGACCATGAGTTAAGCGAGTATGGTCAATACGCAACCTTGCCAAAGCCGTTTCCCATCGCCGGTTACGGTGGTAGGAGGACGGCCACGAGGACACACAACTCCTAAGAGTACGCAGTTTGTTACCAGTAACAGACGACCAATAAGCCTGCCAACGGGTAAGGATGGAGGAATTGATAACCGGGTAAAAGTCGGAATAAGGAATACCTTTACAAGAGATGGGAAGCTAAAGCTAAAACAACAACATTGACAATAATCTCTGTTCAGAACAAACTTTCACTTCCCAGTTTACATGAAGATTATTCCTGGAACCATAATATGCTTTCAGACCATCACAAATATCTAGATATCTATCCTGGTGGTTTTGAGTGTTTTTGTTCCCATTACCATGGGTGTGGTTTCTCATGGTAATGGATTTGGTCTGAGGATGACAGCACACATGAGAAAAGAAAGGCAGAGGCGACGTTTCGGTCTGTCCTGGACCATTATGACACGCCTTGATGATGGTCCAAGACGGACCGAAATGACGTCACTTTCTTTATTTTTCAGATTTCTGGTTGGGTGTCTTAATTCTTATACTCTTATGTATACAAAAACTTAATTCACTGTTAAATATATGAACCAACTGGTGCATATATATGGAGTAGTGGCAACGAAAAAATTTCATATATCTGTTTACTAGAAGTAATCTCGTAAGGTAATCTCGATCTATCAAGTTACATGAATGTAAAGTGTAAAGTCTCATCACGGGACTTATTTAAAACGCAACATATAGTTAGGAACTTGTGACACATTGTGAAACGCATGTTGAAGATGCTACATCATATTGCATGACAGGATTCAAAATATTATAATATGCAAAATCAATAATTTCGTACTTCTGACTGTTTTTAGTTCAAAGCGCTTGGACGGTGTTCCTGGCAGTCTGTGTTTTCCAGTCTGAAATTAGCGCGTAATATCTCATCAATACCAAACTTGAGCGTCGGATTCTTGTTAACATTGGTGGGTGCGCGGGAACCCCAGGAATTTGAAGGATTTCTGTCTCCATGCTCGTGAATTGTGGCCGGAAGCTGGAGGTATGCAGACCGCCTCGAGGACCAATGGCAGCTACTCCACTCAACAACATCCATCAGACTTGCTGTTGACTGTGTACTTGACACATCTGAAGTCAAAGTCACGTTGGAATTTGATCTCGTATTCGACTCACAAGATCTCAAAGACGCACTTGAACCTAAGCTCGTACTCAACTCGCAGGGACTCAATGACACCTTTGTGTCTGAACTTGTATTTGCTAGGCAGGAACTCGTCACACTTATCCTTAAGCTTGTCAGGGAGGACTTGTGAATGGTTGATTGTTTCTTGTGGCCGATGAGAGACGCGCCGCAGTTGAAGCCAGTAGATGAAGAGGACAGTAATGGAACGGAGCTGATCTGATAATACTGTGGACCAGCAGACAGGTCAGAAACTCTTCCGTTTGATTCTTTCAACATTTCTTTGCAGGGGCACATTAAATCCTGTTGAAAGTCTTTATCAATCAAGGGGTCTCCCTGCCGTTTTCTCCTCTTTCTGGATGTTGCTGGCATCGGAGCAAACAAGGTCGACGCCTCCCGCTTTCCTGTCGTAAGCTTGCCACATGACGGAAAACTCGGAGTTGTTGACGTTTGAAATTGGTGTAAAGGTGCAAGACACCTCTGGGAGATGAGATTTCCAAATGAAGGATGGGCGGTTGTGATCGAGGGTGTACAACGTGGAGATAAAGGTTGTGTTGAAGGGAAAGAATGTTTTAAACGAAACATGTGGTGTCTTAGTGTTGAACTTAGTTGATTTTTAGTTAGCGGATAATTTTTTGGAGGTAACGGAGAGTTTCTTAGTGATAGAGATTCATTGTTTAGAGGTGAAGATGGTTTTCTCAGTGTTAATGGTGCCAATCCTTGTAGTAATGTTGGTAGTCCTTGAAATACTGTTGGTAGTCCATGGAGTAATGGCGGTTGTTGTTGTTGTGGCGCCTGAGATATACCTAGCATAAATGGTGGCTGTCCTGGAGGTAATAAGTATTTTTCTAGTTCTAACCATGATTTCCTACCGTCAACAGAGTCTTTTCTGGTAGTAACGGAAGTTGTCCTGACTGTAGTGAAGCCTGTCTTGACAATGATGTGGTTTTCCCTGACGTTATAATACGCTCTCCTGGCACTAATGAAGATTTTCTGGGCGCCAAAAATGCAGATTTTCTTAGCGTGGCTGAAAGTTCTCGTAGCTGAAACGGAGGGGATTTTCCTAGAGGTGTTGAGGAGCTGGTGAGCTTCCTGCTGGAGGGGCGAGGAAGGTGACGTGGGTCAAGGGTCCACAGGTTGTCCTTGCCGTAAGGGCGCCGTGGATCACGCAGGATTTTCCTGAAACACTGAGGAAAGGAAGGAGACACCATGTAAGAACGTAACCAATTGTTGTAATATAACATGTACATATTTTAATTGTTATAATAGTAACAACAGTTTGGCTAACATTTTATGTGGATATTTTAATTGAATTTATTTATTTTGTTCTCATGAAAATGCTAATGTCATTCTAATAGGAGATTTAAACGTTGACTTTGCACGGCACAATAAATACACTGATATACTTGAGGTATTTCACTATATGTATTAGGAGCTCCTGGCAGAGATGAATTTTTATAAATACACTCTGCTAACTGAATTTAGCATTGAGTTAATCATGTATTTCACCTGACTCACACGACAGGGTGGACAAAGACAAACTTTTAGCACAGGTGGAATACGAATGTAGAGAGTAAACCTTATATACTCGCTCCATTATTTCATCATCTTAATAGCGTAACTCATTAGCGCTAATTACACAAGCTATAATCCTATCCCTATTTACAGGTAACAGTTCTTCCATCCTATTATCTTATTGGAGGGAGCTGAGGTGTAGTCACCATATATAAGCAAGCGATATGAGAATAGCAACCGACGGGGGAGACATCTACCGTCACGCAAGGTGCATTCGCACCTCCACAGATCTCCAGTATCAGCTATTGATACTGGTAATTGCTCAAAAGGGCCACCACTTACGGGCTATTCATGCCCGTGCCACCTCTTAGGTGGCTTAATCTTCATCAATCGAATAGCAACGACACATAGCACCGCTCCTGTGCCAGGTAAACTACGGGCTCACCATAGCCCGTGCTACTTGGAACTTGTTCCGAGTAGCTGAATCTATAACAACAACAACAGAATAGCAAACAGTGCAATTTCCAGTCAAGAATGTAGCACAAGGCGCATACAGTTCTAATCGACCCCAAAACACTACAGCTTCGACACAAAACAGACAGCAGACTAAGGACCGCATCCAGCTACAACGCTCTCGTACGTTATACGAACAAGGGGGCACAGGTGGAAAATTAGTACCTAAATGACCCACAGAGACATTAGAAAGATTTTTTCAGTGTCAGAGTAGTTAACAAATGGAATGCATTAAGCAGTGATGTGGAAGAGGCAGACTCCACAAAGAGTTTCAAATGCAGATTTGATAGAGCCCAGTAGGCTCAAGAATCTGTACACAGGTTGATTGACTGTTGAGAGGCGGGACCAAAGAGTCAAAGCTCAACTCCCACAAGCACAACTAGGCGAGTACAGCTGCGTTGATCACATGCTGGCGGGAGCTTTGATCCAATCAGGTCACTCGGTACCCAATTCTCTCAAACGGGGACAAGTTATCAGAAAGTTTGCAAAATTTAATTTTCTCTTCATTGAACGACGAGACGTCCTAGTTATGATCTCACGGCCTAAACGCCATAGCCAGTCATCAAGTAGCAGTAGTCATAAAGAAGTACCAGTTATCAGGAAGTACCAGTCATCAGGAAGTGCCGGTCATCAGGAAGTGCCGGTCATCAGGAAGTACCGGTCATCAGGAAGTGCCGGTCATCAGGAAGTACCGGTCATCAGGAAGTGCCGGTCATCAGGAAGTACCGGTCATCAGGAAGTACCGGTCATCAGGAAGTACCGGTCATCAGGAAGTGCCGGTCATCAGGAAGTACTGGTCATCAGGAAGTACCGGTCATCAGGAAGTACCGGTCATCACGAAGTACCGGTCATCAGGAAGTACCGGTCATCAGGAAGTACCGGTCATCAGGAAGTACCGGTCATCAGGAAGTACCAGTGATCAGGAAGTACCAGTGATCAGGAAGTACCAGTGATCAGGAAGTACCAGTGATCAGGAAGCACCAGTGATCAGGAAGTACCAGTCATCAGGAAGTACCGGTCATCAATAAGTACCAGTCATCAGGAAGTACCAGTCATCAGGAAGTACCAGTCATCAGGAAGTACCAGTCATCAGGAAGTACCAGTCATCAGGAAGTACCGATCATCAGGAAGTACCAGTCATTAGGAAGTACCAGTCATCAGGAAGTACCGATCATCAGGAAGTACCAGTCATCAGGAAGTACCAGTCATCAGGAAGTACCAGTCATCAGGAAGTACCAGTCATCAGGAAGTACCAGTCATCAGGAAGTACCGATCATCAGGAAGTACCAGTCATCAGGAAGTACCAGTCATCAGGAAGTACCAGTCATCAGGAAGTACCAGTCATCAGGAAGTACCAGTCATCAGGAAGTACCAGTCATCAGGAAGTACCGGTCATCAGGAAGTACCAGTCATCAGGAAGTACCAGTCATCAGGAAGTACCAGTCATCAGGAAGTACCGATCATCAGGAAGTACCAGTCATCAGGAAGTACCAGTCATCAGGAAGTACCAGTCATCAGGAAGTACCAGTCATCAGGAAGTACCAGTCATCAGCCAGTACCAGTCATCACGTCATCAAGAAGCAGAAGTCACCAAGAAGCACCAGTCATCAAGAAGCAACAGTCATCAAGAAGCAACAGTCATCAAGAAGCAGCAGTCATCAAGAAGCAGCAGTCATCAAGAAGCAGCAATCATCAAGAAGCAGAAGTCATCAAAAGGCAGCAGTCATCAAGAAGCACCAGTCATCAAGAAGCAGAAGTCATCAAAAAGCAGCAGTCATCAAGAAGCAGCAGTCATCAAGAAGCAGCAATCATCAAGAAGCAGAAGTCATCAAAAGGCAGCAGTCATCAAGAAGCACCAGTCATCAAGAAGCAGCAATCATCAAGAAGCAGCAGTCATCAAGAAGCACCAGTCATCAAGAAGCACCAGTCATCAAGAAACACCAGTCATCAAGAAGCACCAGTCATCAAGAAGCACCAGTCATCAAGAAGCACCAGTAATCAAGAAGCACCAGTCATCAAGAAACACCAGTCATCAGGAAGCACCAGTCATCAAGAAGCACTAGTCATAAAGAAGCAGCAGTCATCAAGAAGCAGCAGTCATCAAGAAGCAGCAGTCATCAAAAAGCACCAGTCATCAAGAAGCAGCAGTCATCAAGAAACACCAGTCATCAGGAAGCACTAGTCATAAAGAAGCACCGGTTATCACGTCATCAAGAAGCAGCAGTCATCACGTCATCAAGAAGCAGCAGTCAACACGTCATCAAGAAGCAGCGGTCATCACGTCATCAAAAAGAAGCAGTCATCAAGAAGCAGCCGTCATCAAGAAGCAGCGGTCATCACGGCATCAAAAAGCAGCAGTCATCAAGAAGCAGCCGTCATCAAGAAGCAGTAATCATCAATAAGCAGCAGTCATCAAGAAGCAGCAGTCATCACGTCATCAAGAGGCAGCAGTCATCACGTCATCAAGAAGCAGCAGTCATCACGTCATCAAGAGGCAGCAGTCATCACGTCATCAAGAAGCAGCAGTCATCACGCCATCAAGAGGCAGCAGTCATCACGTCATCAAGAACCAGCAGTCATCACGTCATCAAGAAGCAGCAGTCATCACGTCATCAAGAAGCAGCAGTCAACACGTCATCAAGAAGCAGCGGTCATCACGTCATCAAAAAGAAGCAGTCATCAAGAAGCAGCCGTCATCAAGAAGCAGCGGTCATCACGGCATCAAAAAGCAGCAGTCATCAAGAAGCAGCCGTCATCAAGAAGCAGTAATCATCAATAAGCAGCAGTCATCAAGAAGCAGCAGTCATCACGTCATCAAGAGGCAGCAGTCATCACGTCATCAAGAAGCAGCAGTCATCACGTCATCAAGAGGCAGCAGTCATCACGTCATCAAGAAGCAGCAGTCATCACGTCATCAAGAGGCAGCAGTCATCACGTCATCAAGAAGCAGCAGTCATCACGTCATCAAGAAGCAGCAGTCATCACGTCATCAAGAAGCAGCAGTCATCACGTCATCAAGAGGCAGCAGTCATCACGTCATCAAGAAGCAGCAGTCATCACGTCATCAAGAAGCAGCAGCAGGCCAGCCATGTACCTGGTTAAGAGAGAGGTTGTGGCGGAGAGAGTTGCGCCATCCCTGGTACTGGCCGCTGAAGAAGGGGTACCGGCGCCGCAGGTACTGGGTGATACCGGCCAGGGTGAGGGCTCCTGTAGGGGAAGACTCCAGCGCCTCCACTATCAGCTCCACGTACGACTGTCAAGGAAACCCAAGCTCTAAATTACTGTTGTGGTTCATATTATTATTAATTATTATTAATTATTATTATTATTATTATTATTATTAGTATTAGTAGTATGTGTTTTTATGTGTGTGTTGTAATGCGGCATTTATGCAATTAAACATTTATAATGATGAAAAATGTGGAATTTTTATCAAATTTTTACTTAAAACTACCTTAAAACGATATATACTAGAGGAAGTAGATCTTCATAATGATTAGATAATCCTGAAGAAGAGCCAAATTATAATATAAATATAAAGAAAACAAATGTGAAAAAATATTCTTCAAAATATTTGATACAAAAAAGAATACTAAAAATATACAAAAAAAGACCGATTAAGCAGTTAAAAAGAAAGTTTGCACAAATAGAGATAAAGTGAATGTGAGGAACAGTGGTGTCTCAGGTTCACAGTGAGGTGGGAACAGTGGCCTCAGGGTTCACCTCCTTTATCTTCTATTATATCTCAAATACATAACTTATTTAGATACATGAGTGAACAGCACCATTAGTCAATACTGATAATGCTGAAATACGCATGGTAGTATTTTCTGATAGCAGATATAGTTCGGTGGTGAATTTGGTTTTAAATTCGTATCTTAAATCAAATTGTAAATATGGCTCTGGGAGTCATAATGTCATTTTGATGACATTAAAGAGACCTAATACAAGTAAGTATAATTATCAAAAGAAGGCACCAAACCGGGAAGGCTATGTAGCACCATCAAAGTGCAAAATAATCAGAGGGCGCTAAACATCACCAAGAATGCCAATACGAGAACAGAAACGCATAAGGCAAACGATATCAAAAGTATCAGATTCACCATGAATTCTATCGAGGTACAAGTGACCGCGAGGGACGGTCGGAAAGCAAGACACACGCACGTCCTGGAAGTCAGGACATTCAACAAGGATATGCATGACTGTAAGAGGGACAACGCAATTTGGACAATAAGGAAGACCTAATACAAGGGAGATATAACGCGTGTGTGATGAAAACATGACCAAAACGACAGTCTGGTGACATTCATACCTAGAAACTCAGTTGGTTAATGATACTGTGGCCTAATAATCTCCGATAGATCGCTGGCCGTAACTGTTCGTGAACCATGAGAAGAATATACAATTGACAGTTTACTGCAGTCTAACTCTCTTAAGACTGGTGCCTCAATCCTGGGACAATAGTCTGACAGGGCACAAGTCACCTGGATCACCACTCACCCGGGGCACCTCACTACTGGGGCATCTCACATCTGGGTGAGATGTGAGTCTACCCACCCGGGGTATCACTCACCTAGGGCACCTCACACCTTCACGAAATGGACAGAGAGAAGGATCTAGGGGTTGATATCATACCAAACCCACCCGGGGTATCACTCACCTAGGGCGCCTCACACCTTCACGAAATGGACAGAGAGAAGGATCTAGGGGTTGATATCATACCAAACCTGCCTCCTAAAGCCCACATCAAAAGAATAACATCTGCGGTGCATGCGAGCCTGGCCAACATCAGAACTGCCCACAGAAACCTGTGTAAGGAATTTTTCAAAACCTTGTATACCACATATGTAAGGCCAATCCTGGAGTATGCGGCCCCAGCATGGAACCCTGGGAACCCTGGGAACGTCTTGTACTTTGTAAAGCACAAGACGAAACTGGAAAAAGTTCAGAGGTATGCCACTAGGCTAGTCCCAGAACTAAGAGGTATGAGTTATTAGGAAAGGCTCAAGGAATTGCACCTCACGTCGCTGGAAGACAGAAGACATCGGGGAGACATAATCACCACATACAAGATTCTCAGAGGAATTGACAGGGTAGATAAGGATGGATTATTTAAGACGGGTGGTACACGCACAAGAGGATACAGGTGGAGGCTGAGTACCCAAATGACCCACTGAGACATTAAAAAGAACTTTTTCAGTGTCAGAGTAGTTAGTAAATGGAATGCGTTAAACAGTGTTGTGGTGGAGGCTGACTCCATACACAGTTTCAGATGTAGATATGATGGAGCCCAGTAGGCTCAGGAATCTGTACACCTGATGATTGACAGTTGAGAGACGGGATCAAAGAGCCAAAGCTCAACCCCCGCAAGCACAACTAGGTGAGTACAACTAGGTGAGTACTACTAGGTGAGTACACCTGGGGCGTCACTCACCCAGGCAACTCACACATGCCGTTAACTATTAATTTTTCGTCGATTTTATCAATAATAAATAATATGGATTTTCTTGACTATTTACAGATAATTATTTTTTCCAACCCAAAACAGTTTAACACCCCAGGTACCTTTTTACTGCTGGGGGGGAACAGAGGTGCGAGCTGGTAGGAAACGCGTCCATGTATCACTCCCAACACGGGAATCAAACCCAGGAGCAATAGCTTGTGAGCCGGACTGCAGAAATGTACATGCTAGTGCATACCTTCACACGAACTGATGAGAGACATGACGATGCGTCGAGAGACGGGAAGAACCAACCAGTTTTGTTTCTGAGCTCAACGCATTGAACATAATCTTAACGACGCGAACATACGAGGCATAAATACTCATACTCCGCCCAAGTAAGACAGAAATGAGACACGGGTAACACATACCGGGCCAGCCAGAGGCTTAGGGCCCACACGGGAATATCCCTGCAAACAAAAGATAAAAAACGCAAATGAAGTGCACTTTGCCCGTTTGGAGAAGATAACTACAACACGACTTAATTCCAGGAGGTGAAGGCTCAGCTAAGATGAACAAGAGAATGGAATTATTAAGAGGGTTTCCATTTCATTATTCCTGTCGAAACTAGCACCAGAGTTAAAGACTTTTGTGGCAATCGAAACCTTCGTTGTAAAAAGATATTTTTTTGGACGATGTGCGCCGCTTTCCACACTGGCGGGAATTTCAAATCGACTTGTGTTTTTTTTATATATATACACAAGAGTTCTTACATTCTTGTATAGGTTAATTATAAGAGAGTTAACCCTAGCGTCATATTCATCAACAAGTGCTAGTATCCAAAGCTCTTCACACCATGATTTCTGTGATTAAAATGTGATCAAAACTGTGAACTTGATCAGGTCTCAAAACTTGATCAGACGGCTGTTTCGTCAATATGGTGATGACTTGAAAGCGACATATCAGTACCGTGGATTTCGTTCACAGTTTTAGTAACACTCGCAGGCTGGCACATCTTGCGACATCTTCAACAATGTGAATGGCGTAAACTCGTCAGTATAAGAAATCGGTGAGACTGTAGTCACCTTACTGGAAACTCTTAATTCATTTCCCCAATCTTAACCCGTTAATGACAGTATTGCAGCATTGCCAACGTAGATGACCTGGTGCCAGTATTTCCAGGTCACAGCTCTACCGTAATAAATCATCTTAAGCACCACTTTCTTGATCTTACTTCCCACAGCAGCATGGGAAATCCATTTGAGTTAACCTACGAACACACACACAAAACGTAAACTGTGTAAAGCATATTTATTCCCACCCAAACTCAATTCAACTTCCGCAAATGTCTAACCTACGCTTAAAACACTTCAGCGCTCGAACGTCTACTATGTAACCTGGTAATTTGTTCCACAACTCAACACTACCGATAAAAGGTCATCCTTGGCTTCAAGGAGGAATATTGGGGTTACAAACGTGATTTTAAGGTGATTTTATTGTCCTGACGAGTGTGTCACACTCACCTAGGAGGCGCTACTCACCTCACCGGGTAACACTCACCTAATAAGTTTTACTCACTTGACGTGCCACTCAACTGGAGAACCACTCACCTTGGTGGGAAGCATTGGCTGATGAGTACCACTCATTTACGGGGTACCACTCAGATCGGGTGCTGCCGTTCACTGACTGGAAACCACTCCCACTAGTGTGATGGAGTAGGAGCGGGGGGGGGGGGTTATTGCACACCTACGTAAGCTTCCAGGAACCTGTGAGATACCACCTACCTGAGGAGGCTTAGGGTGCCGGAAGTAGGTCCTCCTTCCCCCGGAGCGACGCTCAGACTGCTGCAGGAGGCTGCTCTCCCATCCCCAGCTCGAGGGCGAGGTGAGGGGGACTAGAGGAGGCTGGGGAGTGGGGGAAGGCGATGGAGGAGACGGCGGGGAGGAGAGAGGGGAGCTGGTGGGTGAGGGAGAGACGGGGGAGGGGAAAGAGGGAGAGAAGTGTGGTCTGGAGAGAGACGCCATCGATGACGTGCGGCCGATCTGGAAGAATAAGGAGAATGAGAGAGAGAGAGAGAGAGAGAGAGAGAGAGAGAGAGAGAGAGAGAGAGAGAGAGAGAGAGAGAGAGAGAGAGAGAGAGAGAGAGAGAGAGAGAGAGAGAGAGAGAGAGAGAGAGAGAGAGAGAGAGAGAGAGAGAGAGAGAGAGAGAGAGAGAGAGAGAGAGAGAGAGAGAGAGAGAGAGAGAGAGAGAGAGAGAGAGAGAGAGAGAGAGAGAGAGAGAGAGAGAGAGAGAGAGAGAGAGAGAGAGAGAGAGAGAGAGAGAGAGAGA